GAGCTGGGGGGAAACTGGTAGGCAGGCGCAATGTTTCCACAGCAGCGCTGTTGGGTCAGGATGGTGTTAATAGTGGTAATGCCCAGATGAGCTGCACTGCTAATGCAACTATCTCACACCAGACCCAAGTGGTGCACAGTGCAGTAAACTATAGAGTAGCAAAATTAACCTCTAGACCAACATGTGTAACTGGTCAGAGATATTCTTCAGGGTTGATTGATAATCGGTTAACCATTGACATCCCTAGTCAGCACACTTAAATTGTCCATTTTTCTCAGAGATGTTTCCTTTTTCTAATTTTTAAATCCATAGCTAGCATAGCTAGATCAAATCACGACTAGACACTGCTATTGAGGTTCGACAAAAGGAAGAGGCGCACATTTTAGTTGACCAAATATTGGAGGGAAAAAAAGTCTTTGGTTTATAGGCTACACATTTTTACAACTGGATAATGTAAGAATCACTTTAGGTCTGCAACAATGATAGATTAAAATTAAAATGCTAAAAAATAACTGTCATTCATTTTCATATATTTTTTTGTCAAAGCCACAAGGAGCCATTGGAGAGGGGCTGAAGAGCAGCATGTGGCTCCAGAGCTGCAGGTTGCCTACCCCTGCATTAGACAATAAAAACAACCACAATAAAAGCTGTCGATGGACACACACAAGGACTATTTGTTAGATTCAAAATAGATTAGTGCTGTTCATGACAGGTTGTCACGGAAGTCAGTTTCAATCCCAATCAACCCACCAGCAGACTGTAACAATAGCACTAATCTGGGACTCAACCGAACCATGGATTAAAGACCCCATGTGATGAAGGCTGAGCCCAACACTGACCTGAACTCTGACCAGATAGCATGCTGCTTAAACTAAACCTGAGCCCTCACAGTACCTGCGCACAGCATATTGTTGTTCCTAGCTCTGTATATCAGCACAAGACATCTGTGGTCTGCTTCATTGTCTTCACAGTATGTGCCTCATTCTTGCTCATCCAAACAGGTCGCTTCTGCTAACAGGCTTGTTTACATTGTCCAAACAGAGATGCTGGAGGCTTCGGCATTATGAGGCCAGCTTTAGCTTCTAAAAGAGATAGAAAATTTTAAAGAGAGAGAGGGAGCACAAAGGGCAACAGAGATAGAAAAGAAGAGAACATTGAGGCATTTGTTGGATTTGCTTCAGTCCGCAGAATCTATCAGCCTCAATCCCTTATAAACTCACTTTTTCCAGCAGGAAGCAAAACAACAAAACAAGAGCAGATTAATTAGAATTGGGAAAATCTGTGGTGGCAGGCTGTCGGGTTGCAGTCGTCAAAGCAATGGGAAAAGACCTAATGATGTACTCTTTGTTTAACACGGTAGAACAACAAACTTTGCCTGGTCCCAGTGTGATCGCATGACTAAGCGCCTGAAATATGTCCCCCTATGCTCCTGGCTGGCACACTAACTGGCTTGCTTGCCTCCATTTGGCTTAGTGACTCAGGAGCTGTTGGAGCAATAAGCAAACTCCACTGGCCACTGTATCACTCCAGCACATGGTTCAGGCCAGACGGAGGGAAAAACCTCTTTAACTTTCACTCATTGACATAAGTGAAGGACGCTGTGACCTTATTGGACACTGTAAAGGAAAGATGCTAAGGAAGATTATACTGTACAACATTCCTCTGTTTCCTCTGTGCTACTGTTTGGATTTCAAAGGAAAGGTCACCACAGCCCAGAGAGTTTATTACATGGAAATAGAATTAAAAGAAAGGACATTGAATTGTTTGCCATGGTCATTGGACTAGTACAAAAGAAAACGGTTGTTGTTAGTTGTTAGTTGGTAGCAACACACAGTGGGGCCCTAATGTGTGTCACACCCACAAGTTTGAGAACTGCCCTATTCTTACACCTATTTTCTTTTCTTTAACAGAAAAATACAACCATACACTAATCCAAGAGTCTCTCTTTCACCTGCCTGATCTTAACTTTATTTCCTTGTTAGCTCATCATAAAACATACTTTATTCAACTCGACAGGAACACAATAAAACTCACCAAATCATCTTAGTTAGTACACTTAGAAAAGTGTTACCTGGACCTCCCTGGTTGAGTATAACCTTTCCTGTCTGGGGAGGTTGTGTGTGGTTGACTCACCGCCAGGCCACTGCTGTTGCATCGCACAACCAGCTTGCTCGGACTGGGTTCCCATCGGCCAGCTCGGTTTTTGAAGTGGTTGTTTAAAGGTAAAGGTGTATATACATCGACAGTAAGTAGTGGTGTGTGACGAACGCTTTCTCGGTCTCTTTTGTCTGTAAAGTGTCTTGCCTCTGGCATCTTCCTCATGACATCCCCGAGCCAACCTGGTTGGTGCCACTAATGGCAGCTAATGAGTCAATGCCACCAATCCCCAACTGACTCTGCCTCCTATCACCTGCCCAAACCACACCCCCATCTACAAGACACTCACTAAAATACCAATGAGGCTTTCATAAAAGTCATCTAGTTAGTCAGTCCACTATTCAAACAATTTCCAATTCTGGTTTTGGTTGAAATAAACCCTTAATTCACCGAGTAAGATGTGAAAATTTGCTTATCTGAACGCTGTTTATCCCTGTGAGCCAATGAGCAGCTGCTCTCACTCGTTCTTCAGAGGCAGCTCCAGTACATCGTGTTTCGACGAACATGCAATTAATGGCAACAAAAGAAACAGGGAGATAACGGATACAGCAATTTAAAAAAGAAAATGGATTGCTTAGACCTTGCCTCAGTGAATTCAGCACTTCAACATGAAGGTTTTCATGGAAGTTAGCCAGCTACAACGGTTGCAGTAGCCACGGTACACATAAAAATGGCCGCCACTCTGATTATCCCGCTACCTTGATTTGAATAAGAATGTGTGTCTGCTTTGCAGTGGTCAAATTTATTATATACTGTATGTTTCCCTCATGTCATCACCCCTCCTTGCTTTCACACAATTGTGAAACCCGAAAGTTTCCCCATTTCATCACCTTCCAGCAGCTGGTGGTTTTGACAGCATGATCTATTGAAATATTTTGTCACCCTTCAAGGTGTAAATGATTTCTAAAGCCTTACATAATCTCTGCTGGTCTGCAAGCCTGAAGCATACTCCAGGTGAAATACAGTACACCCAAGCTGATATTTGCACCAAGTTTGGTTGAGGGGTTCATTCTGAGTTCAAAATTGTCATAGGAACAACATGACTTCATGATATTTCCATAATGAAAATGTACTACTCCATGGCTGACGTACTGCATATTTCACAGACATCAATGAGTGCCTGTTGCCCGGACTCTGTAAGAACGCCGAATGTCTCAACACAAGAGGAAGCTACAGGTGCACGTGTAAACCAGGCTTCATGTTAGACGCTGACAGGAGCCACTGTGTCTGTAAGTAACACCCCTTTTTTCTTTCAATCATAACACATGATTTTTGGCTGTGGCCGCTCTCTCATGTATTGTATTAAAATAAAATGGACGTATGAATTTCTCTCCCCAGCGGACAAGGCTGTGTCTGACCAGAGGGCGTTCTGCTATCGATCAGTGTCAGCAGGCACATGCTCCCTGCCGCTTGCTCAACACATCACCAAGCAGATCTGCTGCTGCAGCCGAGTGGGCAAGGCCTGGGGCCCTGAGTGTGATCGCTGTCCTTTGCCGGGATCAGGTACAGCCACCAAAAGTTACCGTGCTATCCCATGTGTCCCAGAATTCTTCTCTACACTGATTAAATCCAAGACATATCTCCTGGTCCATCTGCTCGCTCAACCTTCCATTCCCGTTTTTACTGTACTTGCTGGAAACCTATTTGCTGGGTTAATCGCTTTTGCAGATATGAAATGTCACATGTAATCTTATGTAAGCGCTAGCAATGGTAGTGGAAGCACATGCAAAGGATATTTACCACTCAGTCACCATTCTGCTCTTTGCCAGGCTTGTAAAGCACTTCAAAATAACCAAATGTGTTTGGAGTGGAAAAGGACCAAAAACAAAACAGTTTTCATATTTTGGAGGCTGCATAATAGTGGGAGTTAGTCTTGTGTTATCACTCCAACCCTCAGAGAGAAACCCCACTAATAGACCGGCAGAGCTTCACAGCAGAAATAAACAGCTTAGCCAAGTGAAACATGGGAAGTAGTTGTCATCTTTTTTTATTTTTTTTCCCATACCGATCTAATCTTCAAAGTCTTTGAGAGAAACAGGCTGGTTTTATGGAGTGTCTGTACTGGCCAGTGATTCATGGGGATTGTCATAGATCAGATATCACAGACACAGACCTCCATGGTGCTGCTCAGCCAGGACTGACACAGTACACAGACACACAGCCTCTGATTATTTCGGACGCTGGCTTTTGTATGGCCTGACAAGCTGTTCGAGCCATGTTCTGAACAAAGCAGCCAGGCCCATTACTTGTGACTTGGTAACAGGAGCCCGTTGACTATCATACCATATTTACTGCAGCTCCTCTGATGTGGCTGCTGATCATATACAGCCCCATTTCCCTCCACTTTAAATTCATCATTCAGTAGCCTATCGTATCCACATTTCCTGCATTTACACAAGCATTTACAGTGACCACATATCTGTCATTACTCATATCTCTATTCCAGACTCTTTTGGCATAGAGTTGCTGGTTTCAGGTCAGGTAGGGGACATGGTGCTTCTCACTTGTAATGGATTCACCATCGCTGAGGTTTGTTGGGCTCCGACACAAAGAGGTGCAGTCTCCCTCCTTTTATCTAGCCAGCCAATCCTCTATTAGCCTCTCACTCACACGCCTCTACACCAAAGAGTTCAAAGGTCAGTCAGTATTACATGATCCTCTACTTCCCCCACTGGCATGGCCGTGTCTGTTTGAGTGTGCAGATATCCCCCAAAATCCCCTTGCTGGTAGCCCTCTGTGACAGCTGTCACTGGCCTGCCAGCTACCTAGCTCTTAGGCAATAGCCGAAACCCGACCCCTTGCTCGCAGCACACAGTAACGCACAGCATGCTCAGCATAACAATATTACACGGATGGCTTATGTTATTGCTATATGAATATCAGACAGAAATATGAGCCACTATTACGCTCTGGCTCACTGTTCGCTGCTGCGTGTTTCCTACCCCTGCAGACCATTTCAAGGAGATCTGCCCAGCTGGTCACGGGTATACCTACTCGCGCTCTGATGTGCAGATCTCTCTCAGACAGCTGGAGGATGATGATCTGCAGAGCACAGGAGTGTCATTGGAGGAGCAGAGTCCCACTTACCCTCAGCCTCCATCCTTTGAGCCCTCACTGTCACTGCCTAGCAGGCCACATTACCCCAGCTACCCACAGACGCCACAAGTGCCCCAATACCCCGAGTACCCTGAGACACCTCAAGCACCCCGGGAAACTCTGACTCCACAGCAGCCACAGCAGCCTCTGACACCTGAACAGCCAGAAGGTGAGACTAATATGTTTGTGTTTACTCTGAATAGTAAAGAATAGTTGCTGCTGAATGCTCTGCACTTATTATGCACTTAGGCCTTGGAGTTATCCAAACATGGACCACACTTCTACCACAACCCACGGCATAAACAATGCAGGGCAGCAGAGTGATACACAATAGGATTTTATTTTCTACAGGATACACAAGGATTAGCTTCTTTTTTGTGAGAATCCAAACATCAACAGGATGTTTTCATCTCCATAAATAAATGCTAAGTTGATCCAACGTTGAACATATTGGGAGCGCTCTTGTCCCCCCCATCCATCAAAGTGAAACTACTCTGAGCATCACAGCAATGCACACAAGTAATCCACATTGGCCATACATCTAAATCCTCAGGATTTACTGTAAATGTATCTTCCTGATTTAATGCTCGTGAGATAGTTTGTTGGCGGAGCTATGACATTTTGATTTATATGAGGAGACAATTCTGTAAATATTTAGGGATTTTTGTCTTCATTATCAGAGATATCTATTTCCTTGTCTATCTTTGCATTTTTCCTTGGCCGGTAGTCCGCTCTACTTTTCTGATACAACTCTCTCTGTCCGGCTTAGAGGATAAATGTGCCGTAAGCTTTGTTTTATTATAAATAAAGACCCTCAAAGCTGCGAGTCAAGTGCCTAAAGAGAACATGGGTTATTGTGTATGTTGCATAGAGTCAGTAATGGTACTTGTTAATGCGAACAGAATGTCAACATTATGCTACTGATAAAATTTTCTTCTTCTCTCTGTCTCGTGGCAGATGTGGAAATTCTGATCCCGGTAAGTTCTCCCTCCCTGTCAACCTCTTGGCACATGCTTTTGAAATGTTTATCTTAAAACGATATGCTCTAGCTATCTCAGCTGGAGGGTTTGTTATGATTATATAACTTATTCAGACCACATTTCGGTAGATGCACACACCTAATTAGCACTGCATATGATGACAAAAGCAGACACACTGTATGAACACAAGTATGATGATGAAATGTAGCCAAAATCTTTGACATGTAATATTTGCTTGTTTTCTAGCCAGCTGTTGCGACTGACTCACCGCTGAAATATCCAGGTATTTGCCTCTTGGCTTCACTCATTCGAATCACACACTGCCTGTTCACTCTCAATAAGTGCCCTAATGCTGTTTAATTCCTCTTGTGGTCTGATTTATCTCAAAGCTCAAGGGCCTATAGTGGTTTGCAGGGATGGATAGTAACAGATTACATGTAATCAGGATTAGGTAATCAGTTACAAAATACATATAACTAAAATCAGCCCAGATTACATTTTTAAAAAAAGTGTAATTAGATCATAGTTTCATTGTCAGTAATTAGTCTATTAAATTGTTATTACTTATTTTAATATGTCAATTATCAACATTTCAACATTTATTTCTATAGCCCTTTACAAAACCCAAAGGTACCCAAAGTGCTTGACAACAGTGTCAGATAACAATGAAAGTACATGAAGTACCAAACACACACACAGAAACAATAAGACAATACAGAAAAGAAAACAATGGAAAGTGTGGCAGTGCTACAGGGCATTAAAAGCCTATCAACATAGATAAAATACATTTAAAAAAAATAAAATAAATAAAAAGAATAGCCCTAGTCGGGATTAAAAGCAATTCTAAAAAGGTAGGTCGTCAGCTTCGATTTAAAAAGGGCGAGATCAGTAGTGGTGCGAATGTCAGGGGGGAGCTTGTTCCACAATCTTGGAGCAGCAACAGTAAAGGAACGGTCACCCCATTATTTATATCTCAACCTTGGGACTTCTAAAAGAAGCTGACCAGATGAACGCAGGGCCCTGCCACTATCATGGATAGTTAAAGTCTCTGACAAGTAGAGAGGAGCAAGGCCATTAATGGCATTAAAAACAAACAATAGTTTAAAATCTCTCCTAAAACGTACTGGAAGCCAGTGGAGAGACGACAGCACAGGGGTATTGTGTTCACGTCTGGGCGTGTTTGTTAAAAATCGGGCCGCAGCATTCTGTACAAGTTGAAGACGTGACAGGGAAGACTGGCTGCAGCCGACATAAAGTGCATTACAGTAGTCCAATCGTGAGCTGATGAATGTGTGAATTGCCTTCTCAAGGTCCTGCCGATTGAGAAAAGGCTTCACTTTGGCCAATAGACAGAGCTGGAAAAAGCTTGTTCTAACAACAGAACTAATCTGTTTATCAGACTTCAAACCAGTGTCAAATGTTACACCAAGATTTTTTACATGTGGTTTAAAAAAGGGGGGCCAGAGTGCTACAGTTTGTTGCAATAACATTAGACAAAAGTGAAGTGCCAAACAATTTTTTTTTTTTAATTTCTTTATTTAATTTTTTGATAACCAATTTGTTATTGACCCATGAAAAGCAAATGCATGACGTTTAAAGACCAAAAATAGAATATTTGTGGAACTAACGTGTTTTGGCTGAGTCCATTTTTATGCCTCTACGCCAGCGACGGCCCTGGCCTGAGGCGTTATGTTCTTGGGTTGTCCCATTCTCATGGACGGATATCTCAGAAACAATTTTAGGGAATTTTCTCAAATTTGGCACAAACGTCCACTTGGACTCAAGGATGAACTGATTAGATTTTGATGGTCAAAGGTCAGTGTGACCTCACAAAACAGGTTTGTGGCCATAACTAAAGAATTTACACACTAGTTATGACAAACGTTCACACAAATGTCAAGATTAAAGGATGACGTGACATTTTATATCCAAAAGGTCAAAGGTCAACTTCACTGTGACATCATAATGTTTTGCACTTGTCTGCCGTTAATCAAGGCCATAACTCAGGAGCAGAGGGTAAGATATTTGGTCAGAGACTGAATTGGTGACACTTATTTTGTGTGCCCATGTTGAAACTGAGGTGATTGCATTAGGGACCTATATTGATATCATGACATGAGACTAGACATCTTCTTAGATTAAGGATATTGTAATATCATAAGTGCTGTTAAATTCTAGTGTAATCCAAAAGTATTCAGATTAGACTGCTTTTTTGTAACCAAATAGATTACATTACTAATAACAAAACATTGCCATGTAATTTGTATTCAGTAACTGACTGCATTTTAAAGTAATCTGACCCAGCCCTGGTAGTCTGAAATGGGCACAGACACATGATGTGTATTCTATAAATTGCTCACTCCTTCACAGCAGTGGCGGTCTCAATCCTGCTCTGCCAGGGAAAACATTGACATTAAAGTCTGAAGGTTGACTACTTTCAATGAGTCTACTTGATTTATTTTGGTCAATGTACTGTTTTTAGCTCGGAGAAAAGAGTAGATCATTTTTATATAGCCGCCCAATGAGTGACAGCTGAGGCAGTAGTGGTTGGGAAAACAAGCAGCATCTCGTTTAGCTTGTAGAGAACGAGGATTTACTATGTGTCACAGTGTTAGTGGTTCATTGTGTTCGCACTACCCCGATTTTCACAGAAACTGCTCCAGACTCCTCCATCATCTACCAGAGGCCAGATTTAGAGGAAACAACTCACACAGAATCAGCCACAGGTAAAACATACATCAGAAAACATGTATTCAACCCTGGGGCTCACTTGGAACATTAGATATCAGATCAGCAGTAATTGACAGGTGTGTATGGAGCTGTAGGGTGACCAGGCACAAGAGCAGCACGGAGCTTAACTCTTCATTTTTTATGCTCTCAGTCAACTGCTGGCAGACAGCAGCACATCTCACAAGACATTTTTTAAGGCTTACCCGGAGTTAAACCGTGGAGAGCCTGTATTATGATTTTATTTGACCCCTTTTCTCAGAGCCAATTTGGCTTGAAGATGCCGTGCTGCACAGAGGGTGAGAGGGCGAGGAACCAAGAAAGAGTGTGCCTCTTGGAAGGGGAAGTTATCCCAAGTGGACAGAGGCCAGATTTATGAAAAATGGAGGACGAGCAGACAGCAGAGTGAAAAAGTGTTTGGGTGATGGAGAGAGTGAGAGGAAGAGTGCTAGGGAGGAGAATTTACAGTAATCCTACAGAGAAAGGCACACTGTAGCAAGGGTTTTCCTAATTACCAGGCACAAGGGCCCATTTCACTGTCTGTTTTACCACAGTCCATTTGGATAGAAAAAGACAAGAACAACACTAATGTCAGGCTCTGCTGTGCATGACCTGCTTCTCGTCGACCCCTTTGTGAGAGCTCCATACCACCTGTTAGAACACTACAGTGCTGTAAAACCTGTCCTCTCATCCAAGACCTCACCTATAAAACAGCAAGATGGTTCCCATGGAAAACAACATGTGCGAGTGGAATGTAGTTTTTTTTTTTACTTTTTACAGTCTCTGTAATGTTACATAACCCAAGGTCAAAAATATTCATGCCTGCTTTCTGACTGTGCACAACTCTGTGGCTTTTCATAGGTATTGACAAGTGTGCCACCACCCCCGGCATCTGCGGCCATGGGAAATGCATCCCTGTGCAGACTGGCTACACCTGCCACTGTGAGCCAGGATTCAAGCTCAGTGCACTGCAGACCAACTGCATTGGTAAGCAACAATGTGAGGGAGAGAAGGGGAGATAGACGGGGGGTAACAGTGGGACGCTCAGAGAGAAGGAGGGACACAATAACACACGCGTGCTGACACTAGAAGCCCCGGTTGTTCTGCCTATCATCATCTCTGTGCGAGCAAGTCCTCAACACCAACACGGCACAGAAGCCTTGAGAAATGAAGCGAGCCAAAATGAAAGGGAGCCGTTTGTTTATGTTGACCTGTTCCGTGATGCCTGACAACAGCGTCCAGGCCCTCCAAAGAGCTGCCACGGTTCTGTGATCCCTTACCTCACGGTGAAGGCCTTGGCCGCAGCCTCTGCTCTACTCGGCTGGGCTCAGGCCCATCACTGAGGAATGCCTGCGCAGCAGAGGAGCTCCAAAGTCAGGGCTTTGGAAAGTGTACAGTCTCTGCCGGTGAAATGGAACGGCAGTGTAATGTCACATTCGATCTCTTGTACTCACCTTCTGCCTTTATTTTCTTTCTCTGTCTCCCGTTGCAGATGTGAACGAGTGTGACGAGAACCCATGTGAAGGGAAGGGCCGCTGCATAAACAGCTATGGCTCCTACACCTGTCAGTGCCACAGCGGCTACAGCCAGGTGATCACCCAGAACAGGAAGTTCTGTCAAGGTGAGACGCAGCCCAAAGCACAGCAGGGGACATGTTTCCAATGGATGAAAGCCATTAGCTGTTAACTCTCTAACTCTCTGTAAGAGCACTGCAAGTTCTTGTCTGTCAGCGCTGTTCATTTAAGAGCATCCTGGCCTAATTAGTGCTGTGGAACACAATAGTCACTTTCTTTTCCGTTCTCCTTGGTTTTCATTCAAACTGGCAGATATTAATGAGTGCAGCATGCCCAACAAGTGCCAGAACGGCATATGCGTCAACACAGAAGGATCTTACACCTGTGAATGCAACAGCGGCTACGCCAAGTCCTGGAGAGGCCAGTGCGAAGGTGACATGCATGCATACACAAGCGCCTACGCACACGTACAGTTCACATAACAGCACAGTCATAGCCAGGCATATTTGTTTGCTGCCATGAGTTAATGTGTAGCCCGGTTACAAAACACATGTATTTTCCGCATATCAGAGCCAGGAGGAAAACTATGCACAGTTCGTGATGGAGGGATTGTGTGTTTGTATATATTAGCATTTGTGACCTTACACCCCTTTTTTCTTCCATGCATGTGCACATTGTTTTAATAACGACTAATTCAAATGATTATTTTTCGTGTCCCACCTTCTCCCGGAGCAGATGTAGATGAGTGCAGGGATCCCAGCTCCTGTCCCAACGGTGTCTGCGTCAACACTCCTGGCTCCTTCCAGTGCCAGGCCTGCGGCCCAGGGTTCAGGCCCGTTGATGAAAGATGTGTGGGTAAGGCAAACCCACGCCCCATCACAGCAGCACCACCACCACCGCTACCCAAACTCCTCAGGGTGTTTCCAACCGCTGCATGGAAAGAAGCTGGGTTTCCCTCTTACACTGTAAAAGCTTCCTGTATTAGGTAACATTTACGTAGACAAAAGCTGCTGCTCCCAGTTGGCATCACCGAAAATAACCAAGGCGTCATGGCAACAAGCCGTGCCGTTAACGACTTGCTGACAGCTTATGATGCAGCACAGTTCACCAGCTTGCACAAGCTGAATTACTTTCACTCAATTGTGGCTTTTCGCTCAAAGAGACACTCTGACTGCTGATGTGCACGAAATTTGTTTTAAATAAATTTCATTTTATGCTTCAAAGGGCTTTATACTGGGTTTTTTATGTCAAGTGTGGACCACTACTGGGCCCACACGACAACCCAAAACCACAGTGAGGATGGCTATAGTGTGTGGGCCGAACACACCCCTCCACCCTCGCTCTCTCTATTCAGTGTTTCCACGTATGATATATCAGCTTCTCCACCCAGCAGCCTCCGCATATCCCCAATATTGTTTGAACACATACACGGTGTTATTGCTGATCTTTTGATATCACTGGCCCCCGTAAAAAGATTGTTTATAATACTTCAATTTGGGAGAGTCCAAATATTTTCTCTTGGCCACAGCCTTGAACAAACAGTGTATTATTGTTGGAGATCTCTGGCCACCGTACTGTTGGGCCCAGCGGAGGCTTTATTACCACTGCTGGGCTGGGTGATATGACCGGGAAGTCACAGGAGATGCATGAGAAGGTCAAAGGGTCAATTCCCCACTGCGAAGAGGTCCCGACACGCAAACAAATCCTCTCACTCACCCATAAGGATGTCTGTAGCGCGCTGTAAAACTCATACTGCGGATTATTAGATTTCAATGCACAAACGGCCAACAAACTACACTTGGTGTGTGTTGTGTTTAAGCTAACACGCTGGCAGCTCCCCACCTGAACGCGGCCCTGTTACATAAGAGCCTGACTGGTGTTACTTACCATATCCCCTCTCTGTGACCTTGCACCCCCTCTAATTTGTTTGGAAACCTGAGCTCCTGGAGTGAGTATTCCAGAAATGTGAAAAGCTAAAAGACAGAATAAGGATGGAAAATATGGAAATTAGCTTTAGTGGTAATTAGGAGTTCATTTTAATCGATTTTCTCAGTGAGGCTGACGACTGAAGCCCTTGTTTAAAATTACATGATTTCCCTGCCTCCAAAAGAAACACCACTCCAGCTACCTTCTGTTTGTGAGTCCGCTAATGTTATTCATTCTGTGTAAATCTGTGGTGTATAAATAGCCACTGAGAGGAACCCTGTAAATGAGGGATAACACTGGAGGTAAATATTTTTACTCCGAACATCCACCCAGGCAGCGCTAACAGGCTCACAGTATACGTCTGGCGCTGTGAGAGTCACATAAAACAGGCAACACGAGTGCCGGGTTTCCAGTATTTGCCTCAGTCAATTGATGGTAGCACAGTGGTTTGGGCCCAATTGGCCGAATCGTGGATAAGCCTAATTGCTGGTGTGATAGGGAAAACAGCTCCATTCCCCTGTCAGGGCTTATCGCGGAGGCCTGAGAGATGCCGGATGATTGCAGAAACAAAGCACTGGGCCACACTGACAGACGTCTGGCAGTGCCCACAGCTAGGCAAACAAAACCCAGTCTGTGACTCTCTCGCAGTGTTTTCACTGTGTGAGCTCTGTTTCAGCATCTCTATCACGTCCTCTCTCCACCTCCTTTGCAGACAAATACTTTTCCTTCCTCTCCCCCCTTTCTCTTCCTCTTTTACTGTCTCTGTCTCTTACATTCACATAATCAGTCTCTCCCCTCACCTTACCTAAGCTGAAAATTACCATTGTTAACACTTGATAAATTCCACTATAAAACATTATTTCTGCGTGAGGTTTTCCGAAAATATAATTTCTAGGTCAACTGCTCTGACCCACTGAGTGGAAAAGACAACTACTGCTGCAAATAGTAAAAGCCCTATAGAATGAGGTTTGGGCACTGATTTAATTTAATGACTGCTGTTTTACAGTCATTTTGGGCACTAATTATGCTGTAATTGTTTCCCCCTTACTGAAACAACCCTCAATTTGTATACACATCTTTGTTTTTATTTTCCGTATCCTGCTGTATTCTCCTGCTGCAATGGCCCAGTTTTCCTTTGCATTTTAGATTTCATCTGATATTAAAGGGTCAGTCTACCTAAATCACAAAAGTAACATATTTACCTATCTTTAGTAGTATCTTGGATGCAGATAGTTTTGGTTTTATGTGGCAAGGTTTTGAGATCTTTCTTAAGGCTTTTCTGCCTTTCTGCTCAGAGTTATTTTGTTCACATCTTTCACAAAATTAATTACACTTAAAATGTTCAGCAGCAGTGTTTTTTGGACGACATATCCTCATAAGATTGGTCAAATTATATCTAATAAATTTGTGCCCCACGAATGATGTTATGTACTCAACATAAAGTTACATACATAATGTAAAGTTACTTGGGTTTGGTTTAGGTAAAAGAAACATGGTGACTTGGTCTCACACAGTTCCAAAAAACTGTCTCACCACAGCTGAAATTCCATTTCCTTTCATTGTACTGGGGTGATGGCAGAAATCCTAGAGGTGGATATCTCAAAAACCTTTGATCATTCCAATATGTTATTTTCATGGCCTTGGAAAAGTTCAGTCAATATTTGTGAACACGAGCTACTCTCTCTCAAAGCCAGAAACATCTCAAACTTGTGATTTTATGGACCAGCAAAATGTTTGTTTTCTTTTTTATACCCAGATGAGCTTTATTTTACTCTAGTGTTCTCAGTTCTGAAACAGAAAATGTACCCATATAGACTGTATTTAGTATTTCTGCCACTTAACCTTGCCATCAGAGAGCCTTTTCTGACAGGGAATTGAACCCGTTATATCAAAGCGCCACTAGATGCCACTGCCATAAACAGTGATTTTACTTAGTAGAACACTGAGTTGCAGGTCTACCATGGATTTGACTGGTTAGTGTGCAAGGTGAAGTGAAGCATTGGTCTCCAGTAGATGCAGAGTGAGACTTTTAATTTGTATGAACTGACACTTTAATCACACACTGTACTTGCTCTCATATATATTATGTCCTGTCCTTCTGTCCCCAGATGTAAACGAGTGCTTGAACCAAACCGTGTGTGGTCGTGGTAGGTGTGTCAACACTGAGGGCTCCTATAGGTGCAACTGTTTCCAGGGATATGAACTCTCACCAGACAACGTTTGCCAAGGTAACTGTCAGTCAGAAGGTCAGTCAGACATTATTAACGTCCCATATCAAAGTAACAGCTCTGTGAATAGTTCTCCACAGTGCTACTACAGAAGCTTCGCGGCACCATTGAAGCTTTATAAAAAAGGCTACAAAGAGTTAGTCTTTATTTTCTGGGGCCCCCCCTTTTTTTTACCCCTCTGTATCTTCTCTCCAGATGTGGATGAATGTATGCTCCCCGGAGTCTGCCTCAACGGCCGCTGTGTCAATCTGGACGGCACCCACACATGTACCTGTAACCATGGTTACCATGTCACCTCAGACAGCGAAGCCTGTGAAGGTCTGCAAAGGATTATCTGGAGCTGTTGGGTGTAACTCGTCACTGCATACTTCTCAGCTTGTGGAGCTCTCTCGACAGCAGTATAATGTCTGCAAATTGTTTCTTTTTGTTAGATGTCAACGAGTGCGCAACTGGTAATGTATGCCCTGCGGGAATTTGCATCAACACAGCAGGTTCCTACACTTGCCAGAACTGCAGGCCTGGGTTTGAACCCTCTGCTGATGGACTGAGATGTGAAGGTATGAAATCAACTGTTTAACGATTTACTGTGAACTGCTGTTGGTAGATGGTGATGATTTCTCTGCCCAGTTGAAGTGAATCTGATTTTTGTGTTTCCAGATGTGAATGAGTGCGCCCAGGGTGACTTGTGTCTCGGTGGCGTGTGCGCCAACACGGAGGGATCCTACACCTGCACCAGATGTAAGGCCGGCTACAGAGTGTCTCAAGACCGTCAGAGGTGTGAAGGTAAACTCTATCTCCGGCTGTGCTCCTCAGTCAGTCAAAACCATTAGTGCTGTTACAACTGTTGAAGACTTACTCAACACATCTGGGTTGCTTGTCACCTCACCATTAAAACTCCTGTGCAACTGAATTCCCTCAGCATATTATTTGGTCTTTATAGTCATCGGTTTCCTGACATGTCTGTGCTGGTGTGCATGTGTTTCTCCCAGATATTGACGAGTGCCAGTCCCTGTCTACCTGTGCCAACGGGATCTGTCTAAACTCGGAAGGCTCTTACACCTGTGAGAATTGTCCTACAGGGTACAAAGTATCATATGACGGGGAGCTCTGTGAAGGTTGGTTTATTTAACACTACTTTTTTAATAACTCCTGCATAATGCCATTTGTATGTTAGTCAGCCTGAAAGAACTGACACTGGTGGGGTTAGTGGTTCTTACCTTTCACCAGGATTTTCTTTTCCTTGGCTGTAGAGACACCCCCTGTCCCGCAGCGAATGTCTAACAGCCTGTGTTGTTTTCAGATATCGATGAGTGTGCACTGCCCACGACATGCCCCCAGGGAACATGTACAAACACAGATGGCTCCTTCACGTGTATTGTCTGTCAGCCTGGTTTCAGAGTCTCTGAGGATGGACAACAGTGTGATGGTGAGGCTGTTGGCTGTGTTTGTGCAGGAATGTTTTGTTTGTGCACTTGAGCACAGGTGTGTAGCGTCTATTCAAACATGCCAGACCTTGCCTTAATACCCGACAAAAGCTGCGGTTAAGGGTGAATGTGCCAGCTGCGTTGAACACGTTCCCCGGCTGGTTCAGGCTGTGTATTAAAAGCATCAGGTGCGACAGCTTGGAACCCAAAGCCCCATCATCTGAGCCCAAAATCCCAAAATACTCCTTCTAGACATCACATCATAGCTGGATCCTGGACCCCTCCGCCTCTGGCACCGCTCATCTGATCCTTGCTCAACACAATGAGACACCAGCCCTCAAATAGAACATGATGATGTCAGGCTAATGTTCCGCAGATAGCTCAGCTAAAAAGATAGACGTGTCGACATTTGTAATTTCTAGCTCCAGTGATTGCCGATCTAACTGATTACAACTGGCGAGCTTTATTTATTTGAAGCCAGAGATGGTAATCTGCATTATGATGTGTCTGTGTATTTGTGTCCAGATGTGGATGAGTGCTTGGTGGCTAACGTGTGCCCGCGCCAGCTGTGCTTGAACACCCCAGGATCGTACACCTGCAGGAGCTGTGAAGCCGGCCTGCAACTGTCTGAGGATGGTTACGGCTGTGAAGGTAAAACTACCTCTGTTTTTATGTACCTGCGCAGAACACTTTAAGCTGTCACTATCAAAAACATTGCACCAAAGTTACAGTAGACCACAGTAGAAAAAAAGGAATGCATTAGACCCAGAACATGATTACAGAAAATCTTTACCGTGCAGAGTAATTTGTCATGACATGATTTATGAGATCAATGCAGTGAAACGGCTGCTTTGACGAATCCGGGGAGGCTGATCTGTCATGACTTCATGGGAAGCAGAAAAGGAATGGCTGTTTAAATGGATTCAAACATGGCCTCAGTTAGTCATATATACTGTGGTGTGTTTTTGAATGGAAGCGTGGATGTAGCCCAAGAGGAAGATCCCCTACCGATATGGGTCTTTGTGCTGGGAAAAGGTTTTACAAAACAAGCCCGAGTCCAAGTCGGCCTCTGATAGGATTTTAATGGATGCCTCTGATGCCATGGAAAATATTAAGGGCTTAATTTGAAATGAAGTCAACCACTCCCCTGCCTTCCACGTACTACAGCGAGCTCGCCCCGTTGAACTGTTCACCCAAAGGCAAAACTGAGCCGTCCCAATCACTTAACAATGGCCCACACAATTTTTCTCCGTAAGAAATACAATCTGCACCGGGTCGAGGAATTTCCAGTGATCACATAACAGCGAGCCAGGGACTGTTTGTAGATACAGTAATTATGCGCCACCTGTAATAGCTTGCTGTTTTGGATTCGATGACCCTCCTGCATACTTATCTTTCCACCCTTTTTAATAAAACACTGTCAGTGCGATCTAATAAAGGCGGCTTTGCTTACTGTATGTAGGCCGAAACACACACACACAATTTTTTACAGACAGTGAACGATCAAAAAAGTAGATTCTTTAGAGGTCCCTTTGCTTAAGATGATAAACTAAAGCTAACCTTTTCTTCTTCTTCTGCATCTTAGACATTGACGAGTGCCAGACCCCAGGTGTGTGCCCCACGGGTGTTTGCACCAACACAGAGGGCTCCTTCTCCTGCATGGCCTGTGACCGTGGCTTCACAGTGGCACCCAACGGGCTCTCATGCCAAGGTACGGCGTAGTGGGTGGCTGACTGTGGTCACTAGATTTTTGTGCAGTCATTTTAATATGTCATCTGTTCCAGTGCAATATGACCTACTGTAGTTAGAATAAGTCATTACACGCTGATGTAGATGATGCATGACTTTTCTGACATGCTCACTGTGGATTTACAGCTGGTGTGAATGTGTCATACTGATGACGTCTCCCTCTCTCACTCTGTGTTTGTTTGTCCATGCAGATGTGAATGAGTGTGAGGACACCAGCCTGTGTGTGGCAGGCCAGTGCACCAACACCATCGGTTCCTATAGCTGCACCTGCCCAGCTGGTATGGAGCTGGTGGACAGGACGTCCTGCAGAGGTATTCACACACACACATACACACACACATACACGCTAGTGTTGTAAGAAATATTGATTTATCGATATATATTGATTCTGTATATTTGAAACGGTTTCAGTACTCAGTATAGATACACCAGTACCAGCTGTGCTTTTTTCGCTCTCTCCTATGAACATAGCCACATACAACAGTTTGTATGATATTCTACGAATTATCACCTCATAAATGACATTACGTAACTCAATGTAAAGTTACCAAGGTCAGGTTTAGGCACGTAAAGTTACTGTGGTTAGGTTTAGGGAAAAAAAACACATAGTGAGTTTACTCAAAGATCGCACGGTTCCAAAACCGGTCTCGTGGGGAAAGTCCTGTGTTTTGTTACCCATCCACCACTTCAACCTGCCTCCTTCTTTACTCCCATCAGCACATTGGTCACATGATCGCAGCCTCCCTAAATACGTGGGTTATACATGAATTACAAGCTCATGATTATGTAGGATATGTAGAAATTTTGGTGTTTTCTGGGTCACCTGACACATAAAATATACCATTAATGCTTAACTGCTCCTCGTGGCTTACTTCATGTTGGCATCTTGACACAGCTGTGTGTGTATGCTTATGACAGATATCGATGAGTGTTTAACTGTGGTGGGGATCTGTGGAGAAGGACAGTGTGTGAACAATGAGGGCTCCTACACGTGCAACTGTCCTGATGGATATACCACCACCGATGGAAAGACCGGCTGCCAAGGTACAGTAACACACTGGCACAAGAGCAGTAACAGCAATGGGAAATTGCTTTTCAGATGATTTTATGAGCTTTGTGTAATTGGGTGAGGCAGAGTCCTAATTAGAAAAAGTTGGTAATAATATAATATGATTTTAGATTAAGTCATTTTACAGTAACCTCGCTGGCTTGCACACGTTTCTTTATTCAGTGCATGCAGGCTCACAGACAGTATCCTCAACACACTGTCCTGGGTGCTGAGGCCCAGCCTGGGACCCTTGGCATGGGTGATCAGACTAGCCTTTCTGTGTAATGGGCCGTGGCCTCATCAACTGTCTCAGCTCACTCTCCGTTCGGACATCAGTTTGATGTTATTCCAGCCGCACCCAGTGACCCACTGGTCACAGCGATGGGAAAAAAAAATGCAGCCTGATCATCAGCTAAGGAAGGCTTTTCTTTTCAACAAACTGGAGCATTTGCTGTCAAAATACATGAAATAACTCTGGCTAGGCTGTCAGAATGGGATCAGTGTTATTTCTGGTGTGTCTTGCAACTACAGTAAGAGGTGAAGTAAACGGCAGGATGTCTGGCAGTGAAATATCCTGTCGTGATGTGAAGCAGGTAGGCTTGAATCACTGGGTTCAGGCCCCTGCAAGACACTGGCACAATCCTCTAATGGGCAAGTGTGACTTAATGTAGAGGACTAGGTTCAGTCCTTGAACAGGGACATTCTTCTGCTGAGGCTTTGGCCTCGGAGCGCCTTAAACACCGTACTCAGACTCTGAGCAAACTGCCCAGCCTGCATCAGGTACGTTGGCTGCCCGCCACAACAAATACTAGGCTCTAATTATCCTATAAATCAGCAGTTGTCGTATATTTTCTTGCAGCCTGCCATTGTGTGTACAGTGCTGACACAATGAAAGCCAGACCCCTCTGACATGAGCCTGCAGGGGGAGGAGAAGGGAGGATGAGGGTATGTGAGTTTATGGGAATGAAAGATGGGTTTAGTCAGGTGAGGCCAAAATGATGCTTGGCCTTGACCGTGTTGGTCTTTCAGCGAAAACAGAACATACGTAATAAAGGACTGACAGCAGACTGAAACACATCTAAATTTAATCCACATCAACAGGTTGTGCCACGGCCTTGCCGCTGTGCCTTTCAATAAAACCTTTGAAGTCCTTGAATTAACTCCAAAACTATCCAGTCACAGCATATTTATGTGTTTACTTATAGTCTGGGCTATTGTTTTTTTTCTCCCTATCTTTGCAAACGGGTGTTTGCCTTGTCGTCTCTGAAAGATTCATCTGATTATCAAAGGTTGAAAAAGGAGGACAGGCTTTTCCCCAGCGATGAATTTCCCCCGCCTTCCCCATATTTTACCCGCAAGTCCAAGTGCCTTACAAGTTATGCCGTAATGCTGCAATTATCCACAAATCTACAGCTAATCAAGCATGTTGTGGTCATTATTAATTTTTACGAGTTGATGGGAAATGTTCTCAGCCTGAAAAGCCGAGGTAGATGTTTTTTTCCTCCTTTGTTTCCTGTTTGCCAGTATACTGTTAAATGCTCCAAATGGCCAATGAATCTGGTGCTCAGACAAGCGCTTGATTACACATTCTTTTTGTGATACTTATGAAAAGGAGTGGTGTTCCCTGTGGATTTAACAAAGACGGAGGATATATGGGGATATTTAGGGATAATCAATATGTAACAAAACTTGACCCACCCTTTTTCCAGTTATCTTTCTTAATTCGTCTGCCTTTCTTTCCCTCATCTCTCTATGCCAGATGTGGATGAATGCAGTAAAGACAACGTGTGCGTCCGAGGCGAGTGTCTCAACACCGATGGCTCTTTCTTGTGCCTGTGTGAAGCTGGCTTCAAGTTCAACGCTGACACAGCTGACTGTGAAGGTAAGACAGGATAAGGCCCCAAAATATTTGTGAAATGGATATTTTCCTCCTTCATTTTAAATGTTCGATTTAGGATTTAGAGGGACATATTAGCAGAAATTGAACATATTACAATAAGTGTGTTTTCTTTAGTGTGTCATCACCTGAAAATGAGAATCATGGTGTTGTCATTACCTTAGAATGAGCCGTTTATATCTACATAGGGAGCAGGTCCTCGTCTACGGAAATCTCCATGTTGCATGTTTCTACAGTAGCCCAGAATGGACAAACCAAACAGTGTCTTTCGATAGGGCCATTTGTGTTTTTGGGTTTTTGGGTTGGTCACTGTAGTTAGCAGCCCCTCTGTGACGATAGCCTTTGAAAAACACAGATTTTTTTAATGTGAAACTTCTTTATTCAGTGTTTTTACCAATTTAAATCACCAGATTTGTTTGTTTTGGTGAGCAAGAGACCTTTGCGAATAATTCAAGTCCCGGTAGAAACCTTCTTAACGTCTCGATCTTAAAGTTATCAAAGAAAAAAGGTGAGCACACATTACCAGGTGCTGAGCTATTGGCCCATCCCCGACATGCCAAACAATGTAGCAGGATGCCTCGGCAGATAATTCAGCTCAAAATCTCCCGAACGTCTAGATCAGAAAAAAGGTGAGAGCATACATTAGCAAGTACTGGACTACCGGCCCATCTTCAGTGTGCAGAACAGCATGGGAAAAACACTTATTTATGTGAAACTGCTTTATTTAGTGTTTTTATTGGTTTTAATCACCTGGTTGGATTGTTCTAGAGATGAAGAGACCTTTGTGAGTAATTCAGCTCCTAGTAAAAAAACCCCTGAACAATGCGCACCAAAGGAATTCTGACCTGGAGAGGTTTCATCTGGTTGCAATCTGAAACCTTAAATACTGTTCATTTAAAAAGAAAATTATGTGCACACGAACTTTGTTTTGCGAAATCTCTGTCCACATGGACAGGAGGAGCTCACTCAAAGATACAAGTGATGCTCTGGACATGTCAAAGTTTTCCTTAGACTCCTCATCAACATTACCACTCTGGAAAGTGTCCCACCATCTGTTGGTTCGACCGGGCCTGATCCAGAACCGTTGTTTCTGGTGAACCTCAAACTGTGGCGCTGAGAACCAAACAACATTGGGCACAGCACACAGCTCTGTTCCTCTGTGAAGGGGTTCAGCAAAACTAAGTTAAGATGTAAAGTAGTCAATACACTAAGCAGTGCTAACAAAATGTAAACAAGCCAGTAGTCTGCTGTGATATTGTTTCTGGTACATGCTCGTCACACAAACTAACAATGGGCATGCGCAAATTTGAGGAGATGAAATCATTATTTCCTCAAATGCTCTGTTTTACACGTCCACACAGATACAAACAAAACTGCTGTTGCATGTGGATGAGAGGCCCAGACTAAGAGGAATATATTGGTTTTCAAAATTATCTGTATACGTGTAGACAGGTCTTGAAATTCCCTTGTATATGTCATAGTGATTGTTGACCTCTTACTGTGCCCTGAGGCTTCTACTCTCAGAGTAAACCAACATGTCAGCATTAGCTGTTTGATCGTCACGCTACATTTAGACTTAAGTGTACCCAGTATAACACAGTTGGCTATGATTGATTATCTATAGGCAGTGGGGACTGGGTTCCAGTGAAAGTGTCCAAGCCTGGCTTAGAGGCTTTCTCAGGTCTCAGGAGTGAGGGGTGCCTGGATTACATGGCTGGAGCCCTGAACTCCCTCTCCCCAGAGGGAAGTATGAATGACCCCATTGTGAGCAGGAGGTGTTTCTCCCTCTGGAACGTCTCCCTTTAGCTCCTTCACAAGTTCTTTGGTTGCTGTGATAATATTGTTCTTGGCCATTCCTGTTGCCTGCTGCGTTTACTGAGGACAGCTACACCGCAGGCCTCCTGGCCGACTCCTGCTGTACAGCCATTACACTGGAAGCAGAAGAGCAGAGGAGGGAATACAAGTGTGTGTGCGGGGGTTGCATGTGTCCGTGTTAGTGTCTGATTGCACATGTGGTTGCGTTTGTGCCTCTGTTTGTCAGTTACTAACCAACATCTGTCTCTCTTTCGCTCACTGTACAGACCAGAATGAGTGCAAGGAGTATGGAAGCTCAGTGTGTGGTACCTGGCGCTGCGAAAACACCATCGGCTCCTACCGCTGTTTCATGGGCTGCCAGCCTGGCCTCGATGGAGAGGACGCCACAGACTGCGGTGAGTGGTTAAACCGCGTGTCGTTAAAAGACTAGCACACACAATTACGTTAAGAAAAAACAGGCAGATTTTGAGACTAACTCACTTTAGACTGAAGCAGAAGATGTATGCATTGTATGAACCGACCTATTTTTGTACCATTCACCATTTGGGCTGTAGTTAAAGATAGAGAGCGTAGCCTCAAATCAACTCTGCATGCTATTCAGGAGTCTCCCTCTGTGCGTAGATAAAGATATCTGCTTGGCATGCAGACACAAAGAGGCTGATGTGAATCAAAAAGCTATCAGGTACTCGGGTCTTCCTGCACAAGAGGCCATGGGGGAGATGAGGAGACATGGCCCCTGAAATTGGGGCACTTTAGAAAGAGGAGTGCACTGTCATTGGAGGCGGTGTGTGAGGCCAGCTGATAATGGTCTCATCCTTTGGACAACGGAGCTAATGGAGTGCCTCTGGCAGAGACACCAGTGGAACCTGATCACCGTTGCTCTTCTTTTAAGAGGGGATAAAATTGTGGGGGCCTTGCCTCCTCTCCCCAGTCACCTGGGTTGACTGGCTAGGTTTGCACTTATGCTACATCTGGGCCCACAGCAGGCCAACAACAACAGACATATCTCCATGACCACCAGAATACATGAAGCTTTCTGTGTTTACTGGCAGGATTAGACACCTTGGGTTTGAAATATTAATGTGGTTTGTTGCACAACGATCTGAGTTTGTCTGTCTTTATTTTGTAGCGCAGCATTGCTTGTCTTTGTTGCTCTCATAGCACCATAAAACAACAAGTCTGGTTTATGAGGAATACGAGAGACAAAAACAAAAGGCCAAATATTTTCCTCATATTAAGACAGAATCCAAACAGTCACCGGAGAGTGACAGGCGAGGAGGGGGAAAAGCAGTCTGAGAGCATCCGAATGGAATGATGTGTTGGACTGCAGATGGAAGCTGTGGGTGTTTGCGGGTGATTGTGTGCGTATGTGAGTGCAAGTGTGTGTGCGTGCATGTGGTTAACTGTGGGTTTCTGCATCCCCGCTTGTGTGTTTGTGTTAGAGAGAGAACCAGAGACTGTAACCGTTGTGGAGATGCACTCCGAGTGCAGTGCGGCTTCAAATATTCTCATGACCCTGAGTTTTTATTGGACTATCAACAGATGGAGATCAGGGGGAGAATATGCTGATCAGTGACAGATCAGACCTACGCCCCCTCCATCACCCTGATCCCGGCTTCGAGTGGCTGCCTCCTCGCTGCACTTTACGGTGTTGCCTGTCTGGCACCAGCTGAAGAGTGCCGGGGCCTGCAGTGTGATAAGGGCAGATTAAAACCAGCTGCCGACCTTCATTGCTTTAGTGTCAGAGTGAAACCACTGCTCAAATCAATGGCTTGTTATCTTCTGTGAGTTACACGTTTTCTTATCTGACATGTCCTGCGGAGCACAATTGAATCTTTAGATGGGACCTGATTAAAAATAGCTAGTTACATATAATTAAATGACTGAATAAATGTAATTGTAATCAGTTACAGTTGTTGAAAAAAAGGAATTAAATGACAAGTCACGAATAAAAAAGCTGGTGATTACACAGGGATTACAACTTAATATATTCTTATATGTAGAATAAAATATTCATTCTGTTGCTCTGCATGTTTTTGCTGTGCAAGAATGACTTTGTTTGGCAGATATCTGAACAATGCAGGTCAGCAAAGCTGTTGGGAAAAACCCATCAAGGGTAGGAGGCTTACAGGGAGCTGTCTACGCCCAGACAGGCTCCATTTGTTTGGCAGTTTGCGGACAAATTTTAAATGCCACCTGAGACTGACATGCCTCTGACCATCCAACCACATCAAGTCAGGTGGACATGTTGGAAAAAAACGCCTTTCAGTTTTAGAATTTAAAAAATATTTCCCTTCAAAATTCAGAAAAGGTTAAAATAGTTACGTTCCTGATTATATTTTTAACAGTTTAGATAGTAATCTGTAACCTGTTACGTTTCAAAAATCACCTTCCCCACACTGCTGCCCAGTTATGACTGAGTCTGACCATATTTCCCCCGTTGCTATGTTGTGGTGCGAGCTGTTTCGTGTTTTCCCCCGACCCCACAACAAACACTCGCACAGCTCAGCCTTGACTCACAGTCCCAGACTGAAAACCAAGCCCTCTCACCCTCAAAAGCCCGGTGCTGCACACAATAGCGGCTTGTTTCACCTCACGGTTGCAAGTTGTGGGAGATGCTGCCGTCACCCCAATAAAAGTCCAGGGAGGGAGCTCAATTACTCCGGGGCATTTTTGTCTGCTTGTAAAAATCATCAAATATTTAAGAAGAGGCCAGACACTGTAATTTGCAGTTTCTGAGAGGGGCGTTGTTTTATTTTTACTCACCGGCCTTCGAAGGGGCAGCGGTTGTCTTTGGCTCTGCTCGCAGCACTCATTTAGATTTAGAGGCCATAATACAAAAGGGGAAAACAGGGTTTTTTCCACAGCAGCGCGTCAGCTTCAACTGTACCGTGAGGGCTGTCATTCTGCTATGATGCTGTACAGTGCACACGGCTCCTATGGGCATGTGAAAAAGGCAGTGTGTAGTCGCAGGTCATTGTTTTTTAAGCTTTAATTCACCATCATGCACATAATTTCCCACAAGCTATGCCCTTTATGTCTTTAATAAGGCTTTCCCATGGGCGGAAATTGTCTGTGGTCACACTCCTACCCCTTTAAACGTATAGAAATCTAAAGACTTTACCATGTGTGTGTGATCATACTGTTGTGCGTATGTACTGTATGGTGTTTTTTCTCAGAAGTACACACATGATATGACAGTTTGACCTCCACTGTAGTTAACCCAAGACATGTTGTAGATGTAACGTCAGACAGAACGCACAAACATGGTTCCCTGAAAACAAATACCTCACCTCATCCTCGCCCAGTCGCGTGTGAAATAACCTCTGCATATGGGTCCAATCAGACAAGGGGTTGTCCAGAGAATATGGGAGAAGTGTGGGCTGCGGAGGGTGAGCCAACAGTCACTGATTCCTATATTATTGCTGCCTGCCACCATGTGCTCTACATTAACACATGGCACAGAGACCCCCACCATTAACCCTCCCCACCCCTTAACCGCAGCATCACCGGATCCAAGAAGCAGGTCCTCTGGGGTCAGACCATTAAGATAGCTGCCTATTGCGTCGGGTTGCCCCATTTCCCCAGCTCCTCCCACCTCAACTGAACTCCTCACCCTCGTCCCTGCCTCAGATCTTCCCTTCAGGCAATTTACAGCTCTGCATGTGTCCTGACGTAACCGATTATTACATGGAAAGACTAAGAAAGGCAACCCCACGTCCTGCTGGTGTGAGACTAGCTCTTGGTGGAGTTATCTCATTTTGTATTATTCATTTTTTCCCACAAACCATTAGCGCTGTGATCAGTGAACGGACTCTCCGCTTGGAAGACAGATCTAAATTACTGGTCAAGTAATGCTGCCACTCAAGACAGATACACAGAAAAACAAAGGCCATTAAAATTGTTTTGGTCTCGATGCTCTCATTTCTCCCCAGGACGATTCTTTGATTGCGTCTCATCATCACAACATGTGGTTTGCAACAGATTTTGTTCCATGTTACACATGAATGAAAATCTGCCTGCAGACACTGATTATTTTATATATTAGCGGAGAGCTTTCATCACCTCCCTCCCAGACCTCCCAGCTGGCCGCCGCTGTCATTCCAACATTCCAGACTCCACTTAAGCTCTTCACACTTGAGGAAATGTTCCTTAAACTCTGATATTTAATACTTTTCACCTTACTCTGAGAATACTCCTGATTAAGCTGTGGGAACGTTCCCCTCCAAAATGTATTTTTCAATTACTTGTAATATCTTATGGTATCCAAAAAACGTCGCCACTGCTACACTGGTTTGGCATCCCACTTCTCAGCTGCAAAAATGCAAATTCAGTGGGTTGGCGGTTTTCAGTATGTGTCCATCCATTCTCCCTCTATCATCTTGCAGCTATTTGAGCCCACAAGTCTATTCTAGCAATCCCTCTCAGCGTTTCCTGTGAAAGGTTTAACAAAATGACAAAGGCAATTTTGTCTTTGCGGTTTTATTAGCTTGTGGGAGCCCCTGTCTCTGACCCCAGAGGCATGTTAGAGAAGTGGCCAAGTCAGGACAGGAACACTGACAGAGGACTTGTCCCCCAGCAAGCCTGACAAAGTAGTTGTCTGTGTTGGAGGGGAAGACAAGGCCCTGGCCAAGCACACTGTTCAAATCAAATGGCTTGTGGTTTTTCTGGCCCACTTTCTCCCTTTCTTCAGTTGATACAGCCTTTGCGAGTGCTCAGAGGCTAAATAAAACCGGTTTAGACAATATGTGAATGACTGCGCTTTGCACTCCATAAAGCAGTTTGTTTTAAACGGTGCCACTGGACTTGACTTGTTGTCCAAACTGATCTTAGGAGCAGACTTATCCAAAATGAGCTTTACAAGAATGAGACTGTTTAGTGGAACTGATCAAAATGTAATTCAAGTATTCGGGTTGTTGTGATTTTATTGTCTGCATTTTTCCCCCTGTTTTTCTAGAACTTGTGATCGCTCCAGTGGAGTTACTATTAGTCATGGAAACTCTGAATGGAATGGTCATGGAGGGTTGTTATTGTTAAGACTACAAAAAATTCAATCATGCTCATGATAAAACACAGTGGTGTGTCCTCTAATTTGATTAGTGCAGTTCATATCAACTGTCAACTGTAATGTTCCTGATTTAACGACTTTCAGAAAATATACAAGCACTGACTTAATTTCATCTCTGACTGAATAGTTTCTCCTTTGTTTTTTAATTTTTAACTGAAAAGAACAAGCTGTGTTTTCTAACATGGGTTGTGGAACTAATTTCTCACAAATTTATGGTCAGGAGATGCTATTACAGACCAAAGACTGAAACAGATGAATAGACCATTTTGTTAAGGCGAACAAGTAAACACTCACTAAAATGAACACTTTAGAATGACTGAAAAACATAACAAATGGTGGTTATGTGACCCTGAAACAGATTTAGGAGGTTAACGTTGATCAAAGGCAAACAAAACTGACCAGAGAACAAATTCACATGACTGAAGTGTGATCATTAAACTCTCTGATTGTTTTTTTTAAACGATTATAATCAGACTTGCCTTGCAGCAGTATCAGTCTTTGGCCTCTCTGTTACACTCGAGACGCCAAGAAATAAGAAATTGCTAACAAATGTTGCCTTTAAAAAGCGAGTCGTAGAGAATCAGCAGCGTTGTAACACGGTCCAGTGTTAACAGCCTCAACGTCCATGTCTTTCTCTCTCACGCTGACATATAGCATGTCGTGTCTCCACTGGTTTTATGATTTACTGCCATGCAAACAATGAACTACTGTAGGCTGCCATCTGCCAGATCTCCTACACTCTTAGAAGTAAAGTTACTAAGAAGAACTATATAGGGTTCTTCGACTTGTCCCAGTAGGAGAACCCTTTTTGGTTCCACCTGAGCTTCCACTTGAAACACTTGCAAAGAGTTTTACCTATAAACAAAGCCAAGCATATTCAGGATTCGTGGAATTTTGGTGCTATTTAGTAAACCAGCTTGCTTTTCCACCAGTTTTGCGCAGAACCATTGTAATCACGGTGCATTGTGCAACATCAATGAGGGATGTTGCACAATGCACCGCGTATTATATTAATTACCTTCAAACTTTTGTTCTAATGCTACAAATCTTTGTTTTTACCCAAAAAAACAAGCACTGGCCAACTATTAATGAGACTTCTGATGCTTGATGATTTCTCTCTTAAATATTCCATTGTTGCCTTCTCTATCTTCTCTTTCCAACCTGTCAGATATGACATGCCCACTGATGCTGTCATGGTTCTCACCTCAGGTCAAGGAAAACCTGCTATATTTTAGTTCCAGCTGAGAACCAACTTTTGAGGTTCTGAAATAATTTATTTTTGGCTTAAATGCTCTGAACGGTTCAAAATTAGGTGCAGGAAATGGAACAGAACTAGGTTTGGAAATTAGCACCAAGTGCTGGTAAAATATGCAAGTGGCTGCTAGATTTTCTTCACGAACCAGCCAAAAAGCAATGGTAATCTATTGAGTGGTTGGTAAATTTGGGAATCCACCAGCCACAGTGGCCAGGGGACAAAAAATGAATTTCCAACCCTGAATAGAACCAGTTTTGTTTTGGTGGAAACAGGGTATCGGGGCTTCTACTGGGGACCCTTTTATTTTCCAAGGGTTTCTTCAAGAACCCACCTAGGGCGGCTCTTATCATAGTAATGGACTCCATCATGCATAGATCTGTCTCTTGCTAATCATGGATTGAGTTAAACAGGTTAGTCTGAGGCCAGAGGAACAACACTCAGCAGCCTCGTATGTCATGGGGCTCTTGAAGGGCCGAGACTAATGTGGTCATGTACAACCCATGACACTCATAGGTCACAGTCAGGTTTTAGGGGGTGGAGATTTCATGAAACCACTGCTACTACAGTCCTTACTATACAATGCTGCAGTAGGGTTGGGAACCGAAACTTGCTTCCAAATTGAGACAAATACTAAATGCCCGTAAAAAGAAAGAGGGGACTCCTGATACATCTCCAAATAAAAATACAATTTGAAACATGAGTAAACATTTGAATATTTGAGAGTAAGGATGAGAACACCTGTACTTTCAACAAACCTGAAGGACTCTCTTTCAAAAAAGGGTTCTTCAGGTGCAAATGGATCTGGGTAGAACCTCAACCCTTCAGGAAGAATTCTTTTGTAACCACTGTTTGTAAGAGTGTATGTTAAAAATCCTGTAATGGTATCATTTTAGATCTACAGCTGATGTCAAACACATTAAGTAGGTTTAAGCATTTTGATTGATTAGGATGGGAAGCAACTGCTGATGCCAAACTTGAACACTCAGCCATTTTCTTTAACTGCTTGTAAACTGTCTAGTTAATGCAGAATGCTGGCTTCATGTTGTAAACTCCTCCATCTGTTACTCTTTGCCAACATCCCGGTGGCCTAAGTGTCGCTTCTCACTATTGACACAACTAAAGAACATTCACTTGCAGTCTTCCAGATCTAGATCCACTGCTTCACTGTGTTGATGCAGAAAGAATGTCTCCCTGAAATGATTTACAAACATCAAAGTTTGAAAACCCTTTACATGAATTGTTTAATCTGTCAGCTGTTTCTGGCATGTTATGATGGCAGTGATTTCTGTTGTTATTATAAGGTCACAACAATGGTAGTGATGTTTATTTTGGAAAAACGTGTTTATCGAGGCAGTTTGACAGTCTATTGCGCGGAGTGTTGTTATAAATATTAATGTTGTGTTCACCTCTCCTGTGCATTCTCGCCTTGCAGATATTGATGAGTGTGTCAATGACACCATCTGTGGGAACCACGGCTTCTGCGAGAACACAGACGGCTCCTTCCGCTGCCAGTGTGACCGAGGCTACGCCAACCCGCCGGGAGACATGAGCAAATGTGTCGGTCTGTAACTGCTCCTCAACAAGTATTAATCATACAGTACTGCTTGAAAGATTAGCGTGGTGATACGTTGTCTTCTGAACAATCCTATAAAAACACCAAAACCAACAATGAATCAATCATACTTACAAGTATTGTCTGTTTAGCCAAAACTTGATGTAACTCCTTACTTTGTGCCATAGCGCCACATTGTTGTACTCACTGGAGCACAAATGTGCATAAATCAGCATCTGAAAATAGCACCCAATGAATGCTGCACTTGACACCTGTTTGAGCAACTTTTGCTAAAAACTATAGTGCCCAGGTGTTTGAGAGTTTTCTGTTAAATTTAAATATACATTTAGATATTTGAGTACCCATTTTTAAAGATGTTGATCTTTAAGGAGACTGTTGCATTGTAAGTTTTGGACTTTTCTTGGGATTTATTGAAGATGCAAAAATAAGACCAGATTTATCTTTCGATTCTTGTGTGAGACCGCAAATACTGTTTGTTCTCTTTTATCAAACAACTTTAAGCATTTCGTATATAGAGACAGAGTGCAATTAAGTCCTGCCCACACCAGAGGGGAAAACTATTTTATGAAGGTGCCCCCCTGTCACTTCCATCTGTTATCAAACAATAGAAAAATGCCAGAAAAAAAGCAGCTGTGAAATGCAATGCATTATCAACAGGGTGAAGTCATAAGGTTTTATAAGCTGCTGAAACAAATAAAACTGAGCCTTTAAAACAAAAGTAGAAACAGGCAATAAGGCGTGAGGCATCAGTAGGAAGAATGGGAAAACTGTGGTATCCTTACACTCAGTATGCCTACTGGTGCATTAGCATTTTGCTAATTTGGCCAGGCAAACTGCTGAGGTTGAAGCTAACTAAGCAATGCTGGTTTTGATCTTCATTAGCTTAAACGATGATCTTACCTGGTGATTTGATCACATAGTTGAAATTATTCTGTTCATTCAGTGGGATAATTTCTCCAAGTTAAGCAAGGAAAGGATAGGTGACACTGAGACAGACCGACAGTACTGAGTTCGTCACTGTAACTTTCCTCTCTGGTAGACATAAGGTGCTAAAGTATGATGCATTGCGCTCTGTCTCTATAGAAGGATGAATGGATTTTGATGAACTGAAAAAAATGTGTCCTTTTCATCAGAGCACAAATTAAGAGTGTACAAAGAAATAAAGAATCAATCAAGAATCAGTAACTACAAAAAAAATCTATGTGGTTATAATGCATCAGAATGATTTATGTGCTGTCTGATATGAACCACACTTCCGGTAACAAGATGATAAAGATTATTTTTTGTGACCTCACCACGACCTTGTCGAGCACATGCCTTTGCATACATGCCGGATCCTTTACTGACCTCACGCCCTTCTCTCCTGTCTTTCTCAGACGTGAACGAGTGCGAGATGAGCTTGGCGCTGTGCGGGGAGGCCCTGTGTGAGAACTTCGATGGCAGCTTCCTGTGCATCTGCCCCAGCGACAATGAGGAATTTGATCCCATCACCAGCCAGTGCCGCTCCCTGGGTAATGGAGCAGGACTAGCACTCACAGTGACCCACGGGACTTAATTCTCCATCCCATCATTGGGAGACGGAGTTTTCCCTGATTTAATGAGCCGTCTCTCATTATCCAAACAAGGGTGACGAGGTGGACATAACTTACTCCGCATCTCTTGACCTGGCTGTTTCCATTTGTTTTACAGGCTAGGGTTATGGCTGGGTGGGTTGCCTCCAAAAATTTGTATTAGCCTAATCCCTTGAAGGAATGATGAAGTAACTCCTCCAGTAGAGCCAAGTAAATACCCTAAGGGCCTAGTTACTGTAAACCCATTTCCTCACCAAGACAAACAGGGATAATGTGTAGCTGTTGGCAATTAGCGCTAAAGACACGTCGCTTTCTTCCGTGCTAAAATGATCCTGAGTGCAGAGGTTACAGATATGCAACGTTTTGGATTTTCAGAATGACAGATAAGGGCTTTTGAGTTATGGAAACACTGTCACATCTCCAGCTTGATAGGCGTATGTGTACACGAATTGGGCGTATTTACATTATTAAGCGGCGCGCCCTCAGCGGGGATGTTTTTTCTTCTGCCTGGGCACTAAACCCCAGCTATGCCTTTGTGTACCTTTTTGCCACATTCCGCTGTTTGCTTTTGACGTGTGTTAATCAATCATGTGAGAGTGAATGGTGTGTTGACTCACATGCCAGTGTTTCCATTTGGCTAAGCCTGCAGCTTAAGGGTGAGATGCCTGAGCCCATGCCTTTGGACAAATGAGCAGGCTCAGCAGTGGCAGGCGAGGGTAATGCAGTACCTGCTGGAGGCACACTCTGACGGATGGAGAGCGGAGGCCACTCGACACTGTTACTGTGTGATGATGTACTGCTGAAGTGTAGGATTTACTGTAACTTTGAGCCTGTTTACACCTGATATAATCATGCGTCTTTAGTGATCCTATCAGCTCTATGTGTGTCTGTTCACACCTGGCATTATGATGCGTCTCCACATGCGTCTTAAATGACCACTTGTGATCGGATCTCACTTCCCCGCTCCATATGCAAATAACACAATAATATCTATTTGCGAAGACCAAATGCGTTGTTTTTAACTGACGGAAGGTTTGTGGTGCTTTATGCACACCTACACTTATTTAATTCTAGGGCTGCACGCAACGTATTCATTGTACCGTAAAAGCGCCATTAGGAGACCACTGCTGGAGTGTGACCTCCGTGCTGGGAACAATGGTGAAAGTCCACTTGGCCTCACACACATAGTGACAGGGTTACCTGCTAGCATCACACAACTAACGTTACCTACCGATTATTAACACATTTAACGACATAGTCAAGCTGTTCTGGTGTCGATGTGAGTTTGTTGGAACCGTTAAACAGCTGCTGCTACTGTTGTTTTAGCTCATGCGAACAGGGAGGTACATTGAACTGAATGACTGTTCACTGGCAGTAGTGTGGCTCCAGAGACCGTCCTTTAGCTTTGTGTTACTGCAGCAACAGAAAGTTTTCTTATCCTATGGGGCATCAGATAATCAAGGACATCAGCTGAGTAGGCGGTCCTTCAATGTGGCAAAGGACACACTGCTGAAAGAATGTGGCCATATGCGTCCCAGACCACCTTCAAATGTGGTCTGAGCGATCAGATCTCAAGATCCATCGAGGACGCAATTGGTGCATTCAACCCTTTACTGTGCTTAGAGCTTGCAACTTGTGAACTTATCACCCAGTACACATGTTAATACCAGGTGTAAACAGGATCTTTATGTGCTAGGAGATTCCACTTCAATATGGAGATTTGAGTTTAAGCAGCTCTATGAGTTTGCCCTCCTCCACAGATTCTTTTATGTAGCTAACCACAACCTCTGACTGTCTGTCCTGAAGACATGTTTCCTCTGTTCATCTACAGCTGATATGGTCCCGACACCCGCTCCTCAAGTCCCTCCATCCACTCCCTCAAGTGATGAGAGGAAGGAGTGTTATTATAACCTGAACGATGCCAACTTTTGTGACAATGTCTTGTCTCGCAACACCACCAAGCAGGAGTGCTGCTGTACGGTGGGCGCCGGCTGGGGCGACAACTGCGAGATCCACGCCTGTCCTGTGCCAGGAAGAGGTACAACAACTTTTTGTCAGAATAAATTGGATCAAGATTATTCATTGCATGTTATGTTTTTCATCTTCTCTGCCACTAATGAATCCAATTTGTATTTTCCAGATGATTATAACCAACTGTGCCCTCATGGCAGTGGATTGTTACCCCTGACTGTTACGTCTTCACAAAATCTGGGAGAACAGCGCCCTTACATAGGTACTCTCTCGCATTAATACTTACTTCTTGTACTGATATTCCTGTGCTTTGTAGCCTCCCTTCATACAGAACTTTACACCGTTGCAGTGGACATAATCCCTCGCCACATTTATAAGACTGTCTCTACAGCTAGCCAAGGCTTAACAGGATACCTGCCTTCATACCTGACTAATTACTGTAACCATAGTGTGTTCTGACAGCTTCTTACTGGAGGAATAAATGACATTTAAAGCACGGCACCAATGTTTTGACTGTGTTTACTTTCCATCCCACTTACGTAACACCAAAGCGTGAATCTCTCTCACTCTCCTCAGATGCCAATGAGTGTGAGATGTTTGGATCAGACATTTGTAAGAATGGACAGTGTTCGAATCTCTTTTCTACGTATACCTGCTACTGTCGCTCCGGCTTCTACTATGACAACATCCGGCTTGAGTGCGTGGGTAAGAAAAGGCATCTATTTTTAGCATTTGAAAAACATCTACACAACAAGAACTGAACTGAGATGTCATTATATGAGTGTTTTATTTCATGAATCATTTTCAGGATGATTTGTGATCTGTCTCATGTTGACATTTTCTCCATTTTTATACTGAAAATCTGATTCAGTGGCATGCCATCAAAAACGTACTGTAAAGATCTTAAGAAGCTACAGATCTTCCTCTAGTTTGAATAATACCAATGTTTTGAAATGTAATAAATTTTTATTGATGATCAAATTACTGGTTGTTGCACCTCAATTATTTTAACCACATGTCATCATAATTTCTGTCTCTTTGTGAATGTGTTTTTCAGATTACGATGAGTGTGGATTTGGAACCGCCTGTGAGAATGGAGTGTGTGTGAACACAGCTGGGTCTTTCAACTGTTTCTGCAGTCCTCCATTAGTTCTGGACAGCACACGGCGGCGTTGCATTGGCCTCAACACCACAGAAGGTGTGACAGCATTTTCAGTCTAAACGTTAGGTCTCACAGTGGTAGAATTTTTACTGGTATTAACCAAGTTGTTCTTAACAAAGAGCAGATTTGAAAAATATCCATTTAAGGCAGGATGTGTTCACTTTACTTTTCCTCTACCATAGAATGAGATATCGGTGATATAAATGGCTGCATCCTTGGTTTATGTTTTTCTCCCTCCTCGTTCTTTGTCCCAGAACCTCTAGAACCTGAACACGATGTGCACATGGATATTTGCTGGCAGCGTCTGGAGGGGGACAACATGTGTTCAGATCCCCTCCAGGGACGCAGAACTACATACACCGAATGCTGCTGCCTGTACGGCATTGCCTGGAGTGGACAGTGTGCCTTCTGCCCTCGGAAAGATTCTGGTGAGCAGCAGGATATAAGAATGATGCAGAAAAAGAACAAGACAGTGATGACACTGCACAGTAATATCTGTCATTACATCAACATGTCACTGTTATTAATATGCAAAATATAACTCCTCAGATGACTATGCAGTGATGTGTAACCTGCCTCGGGGAGGAGGTACAGACAGTCTGCGAGAGCGGCCGGGATATGAGTACGGTCTTGAGGGGCCAGAGGATACTGTGGAATCTTTTGGTTCTCCGTACTGGGACAATTACGGCAGCCCTGCAGGACCCTATGACATTCCTGAAGGCGTTCCTCTCTTCAATGACTACAGCATTCAACAGCCACCTTCCCGGGTCCCCATTACACGACCACGGGAGCAGCAGCCACGACCAGTAGATTCCTATGCAGGTGAGCATTTGTGAATAATATACAGTACACTATAAGCTACAATGCAGTGGTAAATAAATTAAACTATGAGCTACAGTCACTGACAGTCACCAACATTTGTTTCCCAAAGATGGCTCATAGTCGACAAGCTGACCAAGTCAAACTCATTAATAGCAATAAGCATAATGGAAAATTCCAGCATTGAAAGTACAATCTTGCATTTAAATGTTTATTTAAGCAATACTATATAAATTTTTACATTTTATTTAAAGTGGAAATACTTGATAATTTTATAATAACAGTGTATTAAATGAGAAGTAAAAACAATGCGACAATGTGAGAGGGGTTTGAAGTGATTTATGGAAGATAAAAAAATTACTTAAATATCAATTAATACATTGCTAAAACATTTTTTAAAAAAAGTGAATAAATTAAATGGTAAATAAATGCTAAAAATAAATGAAGAAATAAATGAAGAAATGCATGAATAACGATGTAAATGCAGAGGCTGGGACCTCCTGCCTCATTAACATACAGACAGAGTGTTTATGTTTTTATATATATTTATTTATTTATTCATAAATTTGTGTATTTATTTTGACATTTATTTCAACATGTATTTAATCATGTATTTATACATTTATTTTTTACTGTATTCATTTAAGCATTTTAGTTATTCTTTTTATTTCTATTTTTATCTTTTTATGTATTTCTTTATACATTTATTTATTTATTTATGAAGTTACTTATTTATTCTTTTATGTATTTATACATTTATTTGTTTATTTCAGATTTATTTACTTATTCCAGTGTTTATTTATACATTTATTAAAAACCTAAGTCATTCTTTCATCCTCCATAGTGATGAACCTACAGAGACTTATCACCCAAATCTGCTTTACCAAGCTCTGTGGTGATTTACAGTTCATCGTTAAGCTGTCACTCTCACGGCTCTCAGTGTGTTTGTTCCGCAGCAGCAGGCAGGTGTTTTCAGTGAAATAGCTCTTAAATCCTACTTTCTACCAGCAGCAAACAGCAGACAGACAAAGTTAGCACCTAGCCGATGAACATAGTGGAGCATTAAGCAGCTAAAAAGCCAGATATTTCCGTCAGTTGTTGGTGGAGACCAAAACCAGAGATAAAAGAGAGTAAATATTAGACGTACAACCATAAGGATAACAGAAACACGACTCAAAGTGAATGATAATGTGGCTGCTGGATGTGTAAACAATATTTTTGTAACGTGTGTTTTCTTCCATATGTCTGTGTTCAATCAGAGCGCTACGATAGCTTTGAGGGTCTCCGAGCAGAAGAATGTGGAATCCTAAATGGGTGTGAAAACGGCCGCTGCGTCCGTGTGCGAGAAGGCTACACCTGCGACTGCTTCGACGGTTACGAACTTGACCTAAACAAGATGGCCTGTATAGGTGGGTTCTTTCCCCAGCATCTTTGGTATCTCTCTCAACAGACCACCCACATGTGCACTCTGTGTTCCAAGTTAAAATGTTCAGGGACTTCCTAGAATCAATAGGGAATCAATCATCTCGTTTAAACTTGCTTCAAAATGCGGTGTTGAATCTCCAAATCAAACCACAGTGAACCCTCCCTCCAGGTTTTAAGCCTTCTGGAGCCAGGTCTTGGATTAATTTCAGTGAGGTAACCCTTCATGCGGTATATCATCAAGCTCAAGGAGAAGCTTTGAATTTAACAACCTTGCATTAAGTTATGTTTTATGGGAAACTAATGAAAGCAGTGTACTTCGCAAAACCATGGTGTGTTACCCTTTGCTCTGAAATTCCCTAGTCACACACACTGCCAAGAGCGAGGAGGCCTTGAATCTTAGCCACTCAGTGTATTACATGAGATATTATATCTTTTAAGTGTACTTTGTTTGTTTTGTAAGAAAGTGAGACCGTCTTGTTGTAATGAAATGCTATGATTACAATATTCAGTCTGCATACGAGCTTATCAGCTCCAAGGCCAGACGTTTTCCCAAGGAAAGTGATTGAATTCCAACCCTGTGGAAACACGTGGGAGGTGCGCAGCTCGTGCCATGCCTCCTTTTATAAATATCACCACTAGCATTTCCCCAGCAGAACATGACATAAACAGAAGGAGGGTCATTCGAGATGCTATGAAATGACAATCAGACCTCCCGTGCTGAAAACGGAGAAAGAAAAATCACTGGAAGGCCAGAGGGAAACATAATCCAAGCCATTGTTAATTTTGCCATCGTTCTGAGCAGCTCAGTGCTCAAGATGGCTGGGAACACGAGTTCAGACCCCGTCCAGCCGTCACGCAACATGACGGCATGTTTGGTTAAAGATATACAAGATGATATATTATGCAACATAGCATTGGTGTTAAATGAAAACCTTGTACTTCCAAATATGAACTTCTGTGGAACTAATTAAAACAGCCTTGTTTATTGTTCACAAGATTGCATAACATTTTCAGCAATCTCACCTCCAGGTCCATTTAGTGGCTGCTGAGCTTTTTATCACATAATCTTTACCAGCACGGAGTTTGCCCAGTTGTCATGTAATTGTTTGAGGATGCAACCAATGATTATTTTCATTGGCAATGAATGTGTTCATTACTTTCTTGATTAATCATTTGGTCAGATTACATGTCGTTCTGTCCAAAAAAAAAAGGTCCAAAACTCCAAAATATTTAATGTACTATAATGTTACATGCAGACAAGCAGCAAATCCTCATATTTGAGAAGCTGGAACCAAGATTTTGGAAATTTTCAACCAGCTTTGAATCATAACAATGTAGGTAGTTAATGTAAATGAACTGTGGGAAACTTCCCTCCATCTGACCACCACCCAGATCTCCCTGCTCATCTCTCAGCTCAAATCCGTTGGATGATATGTTTTTCATCATTTAGAGGATTTACTGGCTCTAGGGCTTTTGCTGATTGATTGTACTTCAAAATATTTGTATGTCTGCCATCATGGACACAAAGACCATAGGAGCGGATCAAGAGAGAGACCTGCCCCTCTCTCTTCTTCCTCTCTCAAACAACAACAATAAGCACTGCTGATAAAATTTAAACCAAGATTCTTTTACTATGTTTCCTATTTCTCACCTAAAATGTTTTCAGAAACATATTTTAGCTTAATGTTTTGTTACCAGGTTGCCATTTTGTTTTCTACGTCAGAACAGCTAAGATTGCACTGACTGAATCCAAATGTCCACCTTTTAGACTTGCAGACTAAGCCCTCGCAGACTTTAGTCGTACGTACTATGACGAGTTCACTGCCATCACGTAAAGTCTGCAAGGGCAGAGACCGCAAGCTGCCGATTGACAGACTATTTTACTCGTTGCCATGGAAAGGTTTTAGCAACGATTACAATCATTTTAACAGCTGTTATATTTCTGCTGCTCATCTATCCCTGCAGATAATAAGATAAATCCCATTGATAGGGTTTGTGAGTTAACAAAATACATTTCTGTGTAACATGCAGACTTTAGACATCCACATACAGAGATGGTTGTACAAATGGACTGGGCTATGACTAAATAGTCATTAGTTACATCAGGAGATCTTCTTTAATTATTTTTCGGCCACTGTTCTAGCCTTCATATTTGGTATTACACTGTGCAACCAATAGTTGTATTTCTACATATTTATCTATCATGATGATGTTGAATATTATTTCTGGCCTACACGATTCAAGTGTTGTTTTATTAGGCTACAGTAACAAGCTTTGGAAAAAAAAAACCTACCACATGACGTCCGTATTGCAATGAACTGTGAGCAATTAAATCAGTGAAGTCTGCTGAAGTCTGTATCCCAAGTGGACTCTCTGAAAGTCTGCAGAAAGTCCACTTTAGGCCTCTTGTGGACCGGAGGAATTATGGATTTGGACGGCCTTTAGCACTCCCAGACTTACTGGGAACACGCGCACAAAGTCTGCGAGTCTGCAGGTGCGGTGAAGTCAAGACATATGGATTCAGCAATTATGTCACCCACGTGTGGGAGTGTTTATTAATCTGGTGTGGTGCAGTGCATCCTGGTAGTTGTAGGTTTTCTACCTCTTGAGCAAAAGCAAATGCCACAGTCGTTTTTCTCAGTTTTCTCTCAGCATGTAGCACCAATTTCAAAAGTATGTGTGTCTTCCTACCACATAGACAGCCCAGTTTTGTGAGAAGACCATCTCTCCAGCAGTGAAATACTTCTTTAAACGATTAATGGATTATCATAGTAGGAGTAGAGTCATTTTCTTTCGATTAATCAACCAAGCATCGCAGCTCTGGCATTATAGATGTTCAGATTTCCTTTTTTTCTGACCACCTAAAGAACTTCTCTTTCATGTTTGTTTAACAGTTAAGCTTTAAAGTTTAGGATTTGTTTAACTCCTCTTTTGAGGTCGTGGGATATGATAGAAAGCTAACAAAGGAAAGGAAGGAAGGAAGGCGAAAGAAGGAAGAAAAACAAGAGGAAAGAAAGGAAAAACAGAGGAAGACAGAAGGAGACAGAGGCGTATAGGTGAAATCAAAAGTAGGAATTGTTTCAGCATTCCAGCATCCCTCTCCTCAAATACCCACAAGGCCGCTCAGCAGCAGATGTGGCGCAGGCAGCTGTTTCAGCTGTTAAATCTCCCCGCTGACTAACTCATCATGTCTCCTTTTGCTTCCAGACATAAATGAGTGTGAGGACATCAGCGACAAGGTGCCCTTGTGTCAGAACGGGCAGTGCACCAACACAGAGGGGTCGTACAAGTGCACCTGTTCACCAGGCTTCGTGGCCGCGGCAGAGCCCCACAAGTGCATCCCAGAGATCCCAGAGTCTGAGGAGTCTGGGCCTGCGGAGGGAGAAAACTGAGACAGACTGCTGGCTTTTCCTGCTCCCTCAAAGATCACCCTTACACCCCTCTGCCCTTTCCCCCAAGGGCCTGGCACTAAATCTCCAACAGCAACGCTGAGACGTCCAAACTTGTTTCCCTACGCACACACACAGACACAAACATACACACACACTCCCTTTCAACACAAAACACACTGATGTCCCCCTCATACACACTCAAGAGGACCAGGAATTGTGCAGTGAATGTATTACATGGGATTTAGTATTCACCAGATATCCATTTGCCTTAAAGGGATTTTGTGGACTGATCGTTTTTATTCAGTAACCCCAGGCAATTTGATATGCAGATATATTTTCCACATTATTTTCCTCTGTCACTTTCTTTTTTTTTCTTTTTCTTTTTTTTGTTGTGTTATTTATTTCATTTACATGACGGGCCTCTGCAAACTAAGAAAGCGACCTATTCTTAGAGGGTGTACTTGATTCCTCTTGTTTTATTTGTCTCGCCAATTGACCTCAGAGACAGTGTGGGGAGATAATAAATGTCTTTTGTAAGAGAAGGAATGTCATAAGAAATCAGCCACTCATAAATCAGCTCGTGCCTCACTGTCAAACCTCTCACCAATTTACTCACTCCGTCATTATAATTATAGCGTTGACCTTGGACTAAACGGACGCCAGGGTTGATAAACGTCAGAAATTCAAAGAGAGAACTTTTTCCCACAACTGCCTTTCTCTTCTGCGAGATTAACTACGAGCTGAAGTGGAAGAAACCAAGAGGAGTCGACACAGCCATTAAAACTTCAGCCTTTACGTGGACTTGGAAAGACTGTAGATGTATATGATGATCTATGTGATGTTTTGGTAAAAGTTGCGATCGGTATAACCTGCCTTCCTCCATTTTTTTCACAATATAAACAACAGAAATGAAGTAGGAAAACAGACTCAGTAGCTGATCCCATTTTTTTTCTCTTTAACAGTCTCAACTTGTTTTACACGTCTGTAAAAACCATATGCACCATTTTATTTGATTCTAGCCTAACTTCTGAAACCACAGGAAGGTAAGTTAGTTAAAATCATCCACAAATATCAGATCTTTAAATGAAAGATTAGTTTTACGTACCAGTGCCACACACAGGCAAAAGGATCCCACATGTCACAGTAGACCGTTCCCATGTGTGCATCTCTGAATGCATGTAAAGACACAGGCTTCGTTGGAGAGGTTTGGTATATTTTGTACAGATCTAGTACTATGTATTATTTTGTTACATATTCTCTTAATGCATTATAGCACAACCAATATTTTGTTTGACATAAAACATAAAATGTAAGAAAAATCTGGCATTATAGCTTTGTAGATTTATACATGTCTGTAAAAATGTTTTTTTTTTTTTTTTTTTTAAAGCATATCTTTTTATGTATGAGGAGAGTGGCTGACACTGTACCAGAGGAACTGTGTGTATACCCTGCCCTGTGGAGCAGACAATGAAATATATTTTTTGGAAGTGGCAGCACTGTTCTAATCACAGACATTTTGTCTCTTCGAGTTCATTACAAAGACAATGCTTCGGAAATGCAAGCGCCAACTTCGTGCGTCACAACTTAACGGCTAAATATTAGAAACATTGTGAACATTATTTCTTTTAGTCTCTGTTGGATCCTTACATCATGAATGTATCATAAACAGTATCAGCCTATGCATTCGGTTTCTAAACTCCCACTAATAGCTTTTTGCCTATTATATTCAGGTTTAAGATACAATGGCATTATTTGTCTAATGGATTGAACTTCTCTCAAGAAATCTAAGCAGTGCAGACACATAAAGGTCTAATTCTAACGTTGATGACTTACGCCCTTAACATGCATTCATAACCTATAAACTTACAGTAGCACAGATGTTTCCGCTTCACTTTACAGTGCTGTTCAAATCATCAGCTGAACCGGACCGGAAGTCTAGCATTTAGGTCAAAGTTGGAATATTTAAAGCCTTTCAATACCGCAAATAACTTGAGATAAATGTCTTGTTGTAAAGCTGTGGTCATTGGAAATATCATGCTCATTCATTTTGTTTACCTCTTGACTGTAATCACTATCAGTCATCAAAATAAAAACATGAAAATTATCTGTCTCTTTGAAATTTACTTGGCACCCATGACACAACTTGGATTGACCATTGTATGTTTATTCACATAGAAATCTGCTGCCATGGAAGTTTATTTGTATTAACACAAATTTGGTAGTTATAGTATGATAATAAAGACACTAGATGTTAGTCTTACACCCAGCAGTGTGGTTATTGAACAGCTTGGGACAGGTATGCACATGGATTGCTGTCTCATTATTATGTAAGTGTGATGTAAGTAGTCAGAGTGTGCTCTGCAGATGTATTCAGATCCTTCACTTACAGTAAAAGTGATATCCATAGGTGTAGACTTCAGGGGAGGATGCAGGGGACACATCCTGCTCAGTATTTTAGTTATTGACACCATAAACTGATGCAGAAAAGGCACAAATTATTCAAGTATTATTTTTGTATATTTGCATGTAAGCATCATTATGACATAAAGCATTACATTGCACAACATGGAAATACATAAAGGGTAACAAAAAATTTAATTCAAATGCCTTAGCAATTGCACTTAGTTTGTTTCCACTGGTATTTGGGTATCTGACAACGGACATGAACCACAGACTTTATATCTTCCCAAAGTCTGAACTTAAAATAAATTTAAAACTGGAGACCGGAAATGCTCCAGGGATGACGTTTTTCTGTAGGCCGACACGGAAGTTAGCATCGCACTGGTTCCCTTGTCAAAAACCCTATAGGATTTTTCAATTGGATTTTGGATTACTGCCTCAAATTAGCTGGCAGAAAAACATTTGTGATACTTACACATTTTGTTCAGCACATTTTTGTTTTTCAAAAATGAACAATTTTCATGATTATTGAAGCCTAAATACAACTTCCAGAAGTAAAAAGCTAACATTAGCGAGGGCGGTGTGATGACGTTCTGTAGTCTCATTTAGCCACTTGTTATCAACCGCCTTTTTGAAGAGATATAGAGGCATTAGTGTTCACAAGTGTTTATTTATTTTTTGATGTATTTTATGTCATACAACAAAATGTGAACATCTCTGAACCTTGTGTTAACCACAGACCTTATATCAGACATCTAACCAAAAGCCTATTCACAAAACCCATTAACTTAAAAATGAAGGAACTGTGAATTGTAAAATGCTAACTCATCCGAGTTTTATTCAAGAAAACTATAATAACTATAATTATTTTTTTCTTGGCTTTAGGACTCATTTTTGGGGCACTCTATTAATTTTAAAAATAAGAAATAAAAAAGAATTGGTGTTAAAATTATGTATTATACTATATCGCCATCTTGTGGCAAAATGGCGCTGTACAGCACTGCTTTCCCATCTCTTCCATAACCTTTTCCCATTGGTTAACCGGAGACGAGGAGCTATTCCAGAAGGATTCTGGGAAATTGTGTTTGGCTTCCAACACTGTGCCCACATAAATAATACAGTGGAATACACCTCCCAGAAGCCACCTCGCTTCATACGTGTTTCGTTGACTCCTGGAGCAGAAACCTCTCGTGCTCTGGCTGTGTTGCTAATGTAAATCTTTGAATAATTTAACGGTTATCTGAGGCGAAAGAGACCGTTAGCTATCTGTCAGCTAATACTGTGCGGTATGCCGCCGTTTAACGAGTGGACACTCGGTTAGCGAGCTAAAATAAGTATGTTATCGATAAAAACGTCTTAATAGCTCAGCGGCAATGTAAGTAATATTATGTGTGATAATTTAATGATAAGGAGAAGTGTGACAGTCACTGTCTATGTCGCCTGTTTTGTCATACAGTGTTGAGAACTGACGTCTGGTGCTACAGTATTAAATCTTGCTAATATCCATGCTAAGTGTAGTTAATTGTCCCTGACAGCACAGTCACACATTATCTCGTTATCACCCATTAACTAGCTATTTTAGCCACATTACCAAAATATTAGACTTACCTGGTTTGGAAGGGGGTCTGGCCAATTTATTACAGGTTTAATTTCCCTAATGGCAAAAGAGGAATGTATTGCACAATGGAACAAAACAGGGGACACTTCAACACTACGAAACAGGAGACTCTTTCCCACCTCAGAAAAGACCCTATCAGTTACATTATCGAAGGACAAACACAGTCAGACTGCTGGACACTTGTCAGAGGATGACACCCAGTCTTCAAACGGGACATCTGCTCAGCTTCCGACCAGAGAAGATGTCAGGAGGGACCCTCCAAGCAGGGTGCTGCTGATGTTGGTGGTTGGGCTGTCTTTCTCTACACGTCTCTACAAGATAACAGAGCCCCCTCATGTGTGGTGAGTTAAAGTCCTCTGCATGCATGTATGGAGATGTGCATCTTCTTGTGCATTTGTTTACATCAACTTTTTTCCTTAATTGACCCCTTTTCCATCAAGAAGTAAACTGACAAAGTGACATATATTATGGATATTTCATATTATATTCAATGCAAAACAATATCAGCACAAAACAATTGATAAACTGGGCAATAAACCCAAATAGTAAGTGTAATAACTGCAAGAAGTTTGTGTAAAATTAGTGATTTGGATGAATTTTGAGCTACTTTTTTTGTGTGTATTGCATCAAATCTTTTGTGTTGATGTTTTTAAACAAGGATTCATCCTTAATAGACCTTTTTCTTTGTTCTATTAGCTCTTTGGTTGTTAAGGCAGTCAAAAAATGAGCCACTCTGTCTGTAGTTAAAAATCCTTTATTAATACATGGATACCCTGATGAAGACTCTCTGGTTGAAATGCGTTAGATTATCCTTGTGTTAATAAAGGATTTGTAACTACAGTCAATTTAGTTGTCTACACAGAAATGAATGAAATGCTGGGATATAGGCCTACTATATGTTATTTTGTTTTTAAGCTTTCTTATACTGTTTGAAATTAAGAGGGCCTCGCAACCCCTCGTGACGCTTTTGCAACCCCTACCCTTGTATGGGGAATCGCTGGTTTACGTGATGTCTCATTTTGGTGTTCCAGCTGGGATGAGACACACTTTGGAAAGATGGGGAGCTACTACATCAACAGGACCTTCTTTTTTGATGTCCATCCTCCTCTTGGAAAAGTAAGATCCCAGATCATCCTTTCTGTGTGCTCTCTTCAGGGAAGCATCTCTAGCATGAATATTGTTCCCTCTTAATTTGTTGCAGATGCTGATAGGTCTCGCTGGTTACATGACTGGTTATGATGGCACCTTTCCTTTCATAAAGCCAGGAGATAAATATGAGCACCACAACTACTGGGGAATGAGAGGGGTATGCTGTTTTACACAGAAGGAAACCTGCTCTCGTCTAACTGATTAACTGTGCAATTTGAATAAATACATGTGGTTCTGTTACAACTTTAAAAGGACAAAACATCAAGGCTGCTGACGTGTCTGTTCTGCCTCTTTCCCTACAGTTTTGTGCCATGTTGGGCTCCTGTCTCCCAGTCTTTGCCTACCTCATAGTGCTGGAGTTGTCTCAGTCTCACACTGCTGCTCTCATCACTGCCACTCTGCTCATATTTGGTGAGTGATTATCTTGTTTAAAAGGGTCGCACAACTCAAAAACACATTGAAGTTGCAATGCACTAAGTACTCTACCTTGCAATATCCTTATTTTTCTTGGAAAAAAATAAAGAAACACCATACAGTTTTGGATCGAACCTGCACATACATATTTCGGGAGTAGAGAAACGGCCATGTCCAAAGCACATCAGTCTTTGTTTTCATTTCATTTTACGCCTCTTTTGCTGATCTGCTAACAGCAATTTAGATACATATGAAGAGAATCTTTTTAAATGTTGAATCCTATAGTAAAAATGAAAAATTAATTTGTGCTCAATGTCCTTCTCCTGACAGACACTGGCTGTATCACCATTTCCCAGTACATCCTGTTAGACCCTATTCTCATGTTCTTCATCATGGCAGCAGTGCTGAGCATGGTCAATTTCAACCAGCAGAGATGCAGGTAAGACACCACTACAACTTATATTTTGGTTTCTCTGATCTTGTCCTGTACAATGTAGTGGTGAAATTATTAGTTTATATATCAGTTAGTTGGTCAACAGTGTGTTAGTGGATGTCTACTTTGATCATTTCGATCATTAATCACCAATTAACCCACTAATAATTTAGGTATTAATGCCACACATTCACTGGTTGCAGCTTCTTATATGTGTTGACCTGCTTATTTTGTATTTCAAACCTATTTAAAGTGAATACTGCTGATTTTTGGCAGAAATAAATAGACGAATTTGGAGTCTGGTGTCTTGCGATGGTCGAATACTCTTATTTCGGAGATTTTGTTGCCCAAGTGATTAGTAGAAAAACAAATAAGATGAGATAATTCTTTATTATGCTGTGTTCACATAGATCAGGAAGACAGTAGACAGCAAAGCGGATAATATTTTAGTGGATGAGAGCAGGTTAGTTGCTGTTGTTGCTGTTGTTTTCAGGCCTTTTACTGCCTCCTGGTGGCTGTGGCTGGTACTGACGGGTGTAAACCTTGCCGGGGCATTGGGGGTGAAGTTTGTGGGTCTGTTTGTCATCCTGCTGGTGGGACTGAACACAGTCTGGGACCTCTGGAGACTTTTGGGAGACCTGAGCCTCTCACTGGTAAACAGCATAATGTTTTGAATGGTAACTGATAGTGTTGATGAGTTACATTAGAGGTTTGTCTGTTAGGCTCTTGTCACCTTATTTTCTGGCTCCAGGTGGACATCACAAAGCACTTCCTGGCTCGGGTTGTTGGACTCATCCTGCTTCCGGTCTTCCTCTATGTTACAATCTTTGCAATCCACTTTGTTGTGTTGAACAAAAGGTGCGTCTCTTTGTTATATTATGGATACAGTGTGATTATTACTGCTCATCTCACTCTCAGTATTGCGTAAAGACGTCTACACATCACAACTGTTTTCTCTCACCAGTGGACCGGGAGATGGTTTCTTCAGTTCAGCCTTTCAGTCTCGTCTAATCGGGAACAATCTCCACAATGCGTCCATGCCTGAGTGTGAGTCCCAAACACATTTGTGAATAAAACCACATGACGCTGC